TGATGCAAGGTCAGAATGAAGCCTCTTGTGATTTCTGTTCAAAATGAATTTAAATCAGGATGACTGCACTGATTTCAACAACTTCAGGCTGTTTTTTAACCAGATGAAAATTTGGCATTCAGTTATCACGGTAAATAATTCAGCTAATATTTTCCTTAAGGAAAGAGATGGGGGTGCAGCCTAATGTGGCTGCAGTTCCCCATAAGCACCATCTGGTGCAAGGTGCATGACTGGTGAAATGACAGGGACCCCTCCATCCTATCAATGTACCTACTGCATCCAAACCTGTACTTTGGTTTCGACCTTGTCCTAAACTCCCACTGATGCCAATGGGAGCTCCATGCGCAACGCAGTCATTTATCCAGGCTGTCAAATCTTAGTATTTTCAAAATGTTGACTTGGGCAGGAGTTGAGATAATTTGCATTTGGGGCTTTGCACTGAAGCACTTGAATTCCATTTGGAGTACAGCACTAGCCCCATAAACCCATCTCTAAAAATCCCACTCTGAAAAGAGGATTACTGTACATATGCTATTTGCTTCCTTTTTTCCATAACCTTTTAATGCCTCAGGGATTGAGTTTCACTAGACTCAGTGGGAGAATCCTGGTACATCTGGTTTCCCTGTGGTCTTACATGATGACTGAACAGCCTCACAGCTTTTGCGGTCAGGTTCCCTATGGGCTCACACTGTGATTAGATTTGTTCACCACAAATATATCCTTGTTTGCCATAAAGATATGAGTGAACTGAGCTGCTGTTTATGCATCCCATTTACAACTAGGATTTCATAGAATCATACAGTAAATTAGGTTGGAAAGGACCTCTGGAGGTCACCTCATGCATTTCCTGGCTCGGTCTCTTCCCAAAGATGATTTTTTCTTTCCCCCTTCGGTGGATGGGCAATTTAGAAATATCATTTCAGTTGACAGAATGACCTCCGCTTTCCTACTTCGCTCAAATGCAAGCACTCACCCCAGCCCACTAACACTCCATATTTTAAAAGATTAGATACAGGGTTTTAAAATATGAAGTGTAACATACAATACTAAATTTTGAAATGTGAAATCTGACATGGAATGAAGGTTAAAGATGTATAAGCCGCACAGCTATTCCTGAATGTCTAAACAAATACCTGATCACCTATCTGGCTTTTGTTACAGCAGGAGATGGCTCCGTGGAGCAAGAGGGTAGCAGTGGCCTGGGGATGTATTTGGCACCTGGGGAGACCCAGCTGCCTGTCACTTCCCAGGCAGGATTTGAGGTTATCCAGCATCCCGGGCATCAGGTCAGCCTGCTGCCATAACGCTGGCATGGGAGGTGGTCGTGGCAAAGTTGTAGGGGGTTCAGGAGGCACAGTTTGGCCACCCCTTTAGGAGAGCTTGATTTCACTTTAGAACAATAAAATTTTTTGAGCTGACTTCACTGAGATTTTCACCAGGGCCATAATTATTACTAGGTAACGCAGACTTGTTCTTGGAAAAGCACTTCTACCCTATTTTTAATGTATAATAGTTTCTGGGATTTATATTTTCTTTCTGCAAATACAATAGAATGAAAAACATGACTGTGTGGCATTTATTGCTGAATACTGGTTTCTTATTGGCAACTGCTCCAGATATACGATCAACATCTTTAATTTTTATGAAGAGATGAAAAGTGACTTAGGTAAGGCCCATTGCGATATTACTTTTTATGAAAAAGGTCTTTTTTTTTCTTTTTTTTAGTAGATACAGACTCTAGCCTATAGACTCTGTAGATGATATGCTGTCTCCAGATCTCAAGACTTTTGGAAGTTGACCACAAATGGCCTTTCCAAAAAGATCAAGCTTTAAAAAGGCATAGTTGTTCCTTGCTATTCTTACAGACACTGAAATAAAAATAAGTATGTGCTTTCGAGGAGGAATGAGTCAACATGGCTTCTGCTAATCCTTTAGATCATTTGAATAAATTCAAATAAAGTTTAAAACTGCTACCATGTAATTTATGAACAACTGTGTTAGGTTAAAGTCTGAGAACTAAGTGCAAGTATTGACCGTGTAACTTCTATAGCCATCTGAGTTCAGAGAAAGGTTGGCAGAAAATGTCCTTGAACAGTTCTATAATTAAAGACTTTATTGTTTCACAGATAATTTCATGAAATGGAAAGTGAACATATTTTGATAAAAGTGATAATTTTCTTTGCTTTAATTGTGCCAAGATTAAAATTGGTCATGTTTTAGGACTGCTACTTCTCTATGAGAGGGTAGGGAAGGGACATGCAGTTGTATTATTTATTATTCATATCATTGCAATGTGTGCAAAGAGCTGCATGAACAGAACGGAAGAAAAAGACAGACTCTTCTCTAGTAAGTTTTATGGAACTGTGTTGCTCTGCAGCATTTTGACTTCATTCAGGAAAAGAAGGTAATTTTCATGCTTCTATACTTGTAAAGTAGAGAGTAGCAGTATGAAGATACGCACCAAAATTTTAGTGCCTTGAATGAACAGCAGCTGGGGAAGCTGCTGGTAGCATTGGTTCCAGTTAAAATTTCCAAGACAAAGACTAGCAAGGAGGAATACAGCCAATACAGGAAGGCTCAGTCAGAACACAAACTTTAACCCAACCCAGCAGCAAGCTCTGGTTTTCTACAACAGCGCGTCTGGGGACGTGATTCTCACCTCCTTGCCTCTAATGGCTGCAGCTCCGAGGTCCGCTGGAGGCCACTCCACTTTCAGGCTTTCACTTGCACTGAGAGCATATATGGGTCTCTCTGCTTAGCACTCTAAGGGGATGTTTTGTTTTTCTCATTAAAATCTCTGTTCTGATCGGATCAGATGAATGTTCCGGAAACAAAACACTATGCTGACTGTCTAGTGTGCCTGCACCTTAATGTGACAGAGCCTCCCATGTATTTTCAAATTTCATTACAGAGAAACTGAGCTGAGGAGACCAGTACAATATCTGGAAAGGTTTTGAGTATCTATGTAATTTTATTGCTCTTTTATTTTTAGTTCAAAGTAGATGTGCTTTTATGATATTTACCATACCATAGCTTGGTATGTAAATTCCAGCTTGCTTGCTGGAAAGCTTGCTTTCTGAATATTGGAAATATTCAGAAGTATTTAGGTGCTACTGGGTATTCATGTGAACTGAAAAGCTTTTTAATTTCAAAACTGATTAGATTATTTGACAATTTATCACTTAGCAGTGTGGTCAGTATCTAGTGTATTAAAAACTTGTCCCTTAAAAGTTTTGAAGATTGATTTCAGCAGGAATTAAGTGGCTTGGGTCCTGTGCATCTTGTCACATCAAATCTTGGCCAGTATGTTTTGCTGCATTTGGTTGTGAATTAGAGGTCTTCTTTTTCTAAGCTGGTGAACAATCCACATTTTCTGTTGACTTCAGATCATTTACTGACAATTTGTTCAAGTGTAAACCAGGAGGACAACCAGATCCAAGCCCTCCTTCCCACCGCTCCTAACAATCTCTTGTCATTATATCAGTTTAGATCTGCCAAACCTTTCATCAGATGTAAAAATGAACGGAAAGGTTACTTTTGTAGTATAATGATTAGAGTACTTACCATGGCAACAGACTTATTATGGTTCATCCATTTAGTCATGTTTTATCTTATTATAAATGATGAACTCCCTACTCCCTTCTCACAAAGCTTACGTAAACAGCGTTGTGCAAAGAGGAACCAGGGCTTCAGACTGTCTGGTCAATACACAAGAGTCTCCGGGCTAGTCTAGGGACAGCTTCTGTGGCAAGGACATGGTGGCTGAGAACCACAAGCACAACGCGCTCCAGAAATCTCGGCGAACATCCTGGAGATACCACTACCTACTTCCCGTAACGGCACCGCAAGTCACTGACTCTCCTTCCACTCGTCCCACTCATCAAAGGATACGATAGGGATGGAAGCGTTAGTACCTGTAAGCATAAAAGGGTTCTCGGGTGGAAGATGCCGTAGAATTGCCAAGTCTCACCGTAGTATTAAAGCAGCAGGATTTGGCTGCGTGGGAGAAAGGGTTCACAGCAGGGATTCACCAGTTTTCATACACCCAGAGAAGCAAGCGCATTAGGAACTGGATGGAGCACTGGGATTCCAGTCTCCCGCGCTGCTGCGCCCAGCGGAACGGTAACGCCTCCCTGGTGTGCAGCACCTGAAGGTACGCACGCCCCCAGGAGCGAAGGACTTCTGTCCATTCACAGAGGGACCGTGCGCGGTCTGGTCTGTTACACGTTCACAGGATGGCTGGTTTTGAGCTACGCTATTGTTAAAGCAGATGGAAATCACAGCAGTCAAAAGCTGCTTGCTCCTGACTTGCAGCCTTCTTGCACTAATTAGAGGGTAGGTTGTATTTGTTAAGAGGTGGGCAGCGTCAGGCTGTTTTTGCTTCCTGCTCTCAGGACAGCCAAATGAACTGCTTTGTGCACTAGCTGAAGTCCCAAAAGAGCTAGAACCCTGTTTTGATAAAATGCTGGGATAAAACAAGATCTTTTGAAGTCTAAAATAAATGTATCATTCAAATAACTATAAAGCACTGGAATATAATTTTTCTATAGAAGAAAAGAAAATGGTCCTTTATATCCTTGGGTCTCCAGCTAGAAAACTGCCATAAATGGCTTTTCTGGTGTAAAAGTAACTACATAATAGTAATGTTGAAAATTCATAGGCAAAAAGAAAAAATAAATACTTCCAAGTTTCTCCTGTATTAGAGAAATGGGCTTCTTCACAATGGCAAGCTGCCAGTTTCAAAGTAAGGGGGCCAGCCCCCCTGAAGTGCTTTAAAATAACTGATATTGAAACAGGATAAACAAGTAATAGGACCAAGAGAGGTACATTCGCTGTAAAAAAGTTCAGCTGAAAATATACCTTACACCACATTAGTTTATACAAGTCGCCTAATATAAGCAAAAGTATACAAGAAAAGAATAATGTAAGGAATTTCAGCAGTTTCAGTCATTTCTGTCATGCTGATTTTCCTTTTCGTAAGGACTACTTGTTCAAGCTGATGACAAATCATACATGAAAGTTTATTAAGACAGAAGAAGAACAGGCGTATCCAATTTTACACTCAAGTCATCAACAAATGCAAGTCTTCAACAGTAAAGCTTCTGTCAGAACCCAGGAAACAACGCCATTAGGCTGTGCAAACACCTTTCAATGAAGTACATACAGCTTCCTGTTGCCTTACGCTAATTACTCTGCTAAAATTTTGTTCTCCTGTAGTGAAACTTGCCAGGGATCTTTTCCAAAGTAAAGATAAAGGAGTCTGAAAAGCTGCTTGTGATAAAATGTATTCTATTGAAAGAGCAATATTTAATATTCTACTGAAAAAAAATGGCATAATTCTCTAATTTGGGGAAATATGAAGTGAATTGAGTGGGTTTTTTTATATATAGTGAGAAATATAAACAGGTTTTGTGGTGTTTTGTTTTGGTTTTTTTTTTGTTTGGTTGTTTTTTTTTTGAAGGGTAGTAGTTTAGCTAAGCCTTAAAATGGAAGATCACACCTGATGTGTGCTTGCATCCACTCAGTTGAATAATCACAGGATCATCTACTGCTGCTAAGCAGCTTTCAAAGGTGACACTACTGTGTGAAGCTCTTAAGGCTGTACATTTCATTTGTACATAGTAATTGTGCACCATGTCTCTTTCTGACTTTTGGAAACCACAAAAAGGGTTCAACAACAGCTACCTGGCAAGACTTCTGTATCATCAGAGTAACTTTGTGACCATTATTATTCCTGTAACTTGAGAGCAGAAACCTACATTCTTGTGGCGTGCTGGGTTGAGTCCTACAGTTTCAACCCCCATGAAATTTTGGAAGCTGTTTTACTTTCCTCCCTCTATCAACCATGACAGCGGGACATAAAATGAAAGACTGAAATAACCAGAGCTTCTGTCTTCTCAGAGGTTGGAAAGAGAAGTCAAACTAGCCACAAATGGCATACAGAAATCTTAGAATTTGGAGAACATGATCTGCCCACCCAATTACTTATATAAGGCTTGCCTGACAACCCTTCTAGCCATTGCTTTGTGCTCTACTGAACAGAGACAGTTACAGAGGAAGGGGAGGAACAGTATCAAAATAAATAGCTCTGCGTCACATTTAACCTTCTTCCCCAGCTCTGAAAGATAAAAGCCAAGATTCCTAGCAAGAGTGGCAGTGTCCACAGCACAAGATCAGAAGGAAAGTCTGTGAACTGTGGAGAGCTCACCTTCCTATCCTCCTTATTCTGCTGCTGTTACACACTGCGCTCCTGTCTCAAGCAAAACAGTTGGAACACCCTAACAAGCCAGAGAGACTTCTGGCAGGCAATTCTTAGCTGTGCCATTTCACCTTTGGTACTTAAAGAAACAGGTCCTGGATATGCTACTGAGTAGAGTCTTCAACCATATACCACACAATCTGAGCATGAACAGAATTAACACTATTTACATCTCCCATTTTGCATTGGGATATTTTACTTTGGTTTTGGTCCTAATCTTCTGTGGAACTCATATGCATTTTAGGTAAGAAGCCTAAATGTTTAGCTAACAGCAGAAGTTTGTCATGAGGAAGACACTTGAGAACCACAGACCTGTTGACTAAAACCAGGATTTTAACAAAACACTTTTTTTCCATATTGCAAAAGAAACATGCACAACTGTCTTGCTATAATTCTGACCACCCCGTAATGTAGAAATACTACACGTAATTCCTCATTAAAATAGGTAAAGTATTCCATTTTGGGGAAAAAAAAAATACAAACACCAAATGAAATAAGCCTTAAACCTGGTGTGCCTGAAGGAAAGCTGAGTATGAAAAATAAACAAGGAAAAAAAAAAACCCTGATCTGATTTACATAGGCTTACATGTACTTTTCTGTGAAATACCCATTAAATAGTGGTCCCATTCTTAAGTGTATTTACTTGGTAACAAGAACAGAGGTTACAGAAGAGGCACACTCTAAAATAAAAATACATGAGAAAAAAAAAGTTACCCATATTTTCTTAGTTCCCTGAAGTCTCATCCCTGTGACAGAAGTGAGCTGTTAGTTGTTAATTGCCATGAGAATGTGAGCACGTGCGCACAAGTCAAAGCAGTCTGCTCACTAGCTATCTAGTTAGGAGTACTTCCAGAGCTCTAACATCCTGACTGGAATATTGCTTCTTCCTCCTGAATAACCCTTGAAATCAAAATTGTGGAAATTGTTGATTATCTCCCTCGTAAGTTCCACTTATAAACCATTTACTGTGAACTGCTTTATGGTTTTCCTTCCCTATTCAAAAAGTTCTTACCCTTCTCTAAGGCAATATTTAATCACAAGCAATACAAAACCATCTTACTGTCATCAGGACAAATCCTACAAATCCCTTTTACTGGGTACAGTCTTGATTCTGCTGTATTGCACAGTAAGAGGGGTTTGTAGAAATACCTACTACATGGGTTTTGAAAGAGATCCAGAACCAAAGCTCAGTCTTACACCCCAGACCTCAACCCCAGGCTGTGTTTGGAAATTCACTTCAACTGAGCATCTTCTTGAAATCATTGCTGCCCATTCCTTTTCCTTGCGTACAAGCCAAGGCAGGCACAGAATCCGACGACACTGACAGCGAGGCCCAGTAGGAAGGCGATGGCATCTCCTGCGTCCAGGGCTTCAACTACTGGGAGCACCAGCAGCAATGAAACGAGGACCAGGAAAAGTTTTGAGGTGTTCTTGGTAGAAGGCATGCTGATGATGAGCTGACCCCAACGGGAAGTTAAATGAGGAAAGTGGGGGAAGGTAGGTATTTCAGCAGTATCTACAAGGAAAACAAAAGGAACGTGACAGGATTTCCTTTCCTTCCCCTGAGGAACTGTCTTGCCAAACGCCAACCAATATGACTGATGTATTATAATGTCTGTGTGGGACTCTGGAAACTTTGGTTTTATCTTCACAATTACAAAAGTAATGACTTACTATCATGAGGTAACTACGGTGGGTTTGCTATCTCGTTATGCAGCTCTGTGGAAACTAACCTTTTGGAGCCTTACTGTGAGGTAAAGTCAGAACAGGCTTTCCTGCCTGCAGCCACCGGTGCCGGCTTACTTCATGCTGGGCTTCATGGGCCTTTATCGCTGGGTGTTTCGGACGGGGTAGGTGCCGCACACCACTTACCCACGCCTTCTAGGAAGGGGCATCCTCGGGATCCGTGAGCAGGGGGAGATTACGGCACGCTGGTGAGGATGTGAATGTAACTGCCAGCCCCCGCCCCGTGTACACTCTTCCTGCAGGACAAACATCCTTCCCGCTTCCTCCAACTTGGGAAGCGCCCCTCCGGGGCGCACGCCGGCGCCAGCCCGGGCGGCGGCTCCACAGGAACGGCTCATTCCCGGGGTTCGCACGCCAGAAACGCCACGCCGAGCTACCCCGCGGAGGCCGAGGCCGCCTGGGCCGCTGGGGACAAGCGTCTTTTCCGCCAGACCCGCGGCGGGGGGCCGGGGACACGGCTCCGCCCCCCCCCCCCCCCCCCTCCCCGGGCGCGGAGCGGGGCGGCGCGGCCGCCGCTGGCTCCGCTCCGCTCCGCGCCCCGTCCCGCCCCGCCCCGCCGCCGGTGGGCCGCTCGCCGGGGCAGACCCCGCGCCGGCCTTGCCCCTCAGTCACCTCCTGCCGCCGGCTCCGGGCTGGGGCCGTCCCGTCCCGTCCCGTCCCGTCCGCCCCGCGCCGCCCGGGGCCCCTCAGCTGCTGGGGGCGCCGACCCGCCTCGCCGCACCGCTCTCCCCCAGCCCGGCAGCGGCCATGACAGGAAGGGGCGGTGGCGCGGCCGGGGGCGGGCGTGACCCGGCCGGGCCGCCCCCCGCTCCCGGTACGCACCGCCGGCGCCCGCCCTTCGCGCCGCCACCGGCAGCCGGGGGCCACCGGTTCGGGGCCGGCGGGCGGCCCGGGGGGGGGGGGCACCAGGCTCCTGCGGAGGCCCCGGGAGCCGCCGGGGAGCCCCGGCCTGAGGGCGCCGGGCTCCTCCCGACAGCGGCCTCCAGCCAGAGCCCTGCGGTGCCGGTGCGGCGTGAGGGTGAACCTCGGCCCGCGGAGGGACAGCGCGCACTGCAGCTGCATCGAAGTGAAATTATGAAATTGTACTGGCTTGGGCTGGTTGTCTGCTCTGATCTCTGAAAATAAACAAATAGCACAGGTTATCTCTGGTTTGGCTACAGGCAGTGCCTGCTTCACTTCAGGTGTAGAGCAACAGTGATAATGAGCGCTAATCAATGCTGTCATAAATTCCGAGCATTAATGCACTTTTATAGGATAGAGAGCAGCGTGGTGCCAAAAAAACCTAAGAGCAGTCTAACCAGCTCATTACCTGAGATCACTCCCAAAACCTAAGCGAAACTTGTCTTGATTTTTATCTTCTCTTTTGGACAAAGCTCCTTGTAGAAACGCTGTGTTGCACTGTTCTGTTACATGGAACGGAGTTAAAATGTCATGTAAATGCTGCAGGGGGGGTTACTAGCTAGGTCCTAGCCTGAGCTCGGTTGTTTTTTTTTTTCAGTGGAAAATGTGTATGCTTAAGTTTCAACAGAAGACCAGTAAGCAATTATTGGAGATTCACAGTACACGTGTCTTTGGAACACTCACAGATAGAACCAGAAGAATCTGTGCTAATCGAATGGCAAAATTAACCTAGAATTTGTAATCCATGACTTCAAGCATTTATTAATGATTGTGTTCTCACAATGCTTCCTTAGACTTGTGCGAGAAAACAGCTTTTGTAAACATACCTCTCATTCCCGATGAGCTGCTTAAAGAAATCTAGATGGATTGTTCAACATACATACTGCTTTGCCTCTCCCTTACATAATTTCACTGTAATTGCCTTTGAGCTACCATTCTTCATGCTTAAAGGAACTTTGTAAGTATGAGGTGGGATGTCACTATTGTGCTGATCATCATTCCTTTATTTCCCTTCATTTTCCCACCTGTCTGGATCCAGCAGCTGTCAGTTGTCTTAGACAATAAACTTCCAGGGATAAGGAACAGTCTTTTTGTTCCTTCTTTATACCAAGTAGCATTAAATTGTTGGCTTTTTAAGCGGTAGCGACTAGACTCTGTGATGATACAATAATAATAAATATCAGTATAACTGATAAACATCCCTTTTATGCATGAAGCACCTATTTCACAGTTTTTCTGATCTGAAATACTTGATGCCTTATGTACAGTTCTAAAGGCATTTTCCCAAGGAGCTGATGGCAGATAAACTCGCTGGAGGAAGACCCTGGAGCTTCTGAGAAAGTTGTCATGGCGTGGAAGAGAGTAATGCTACAATGTCTGTGCTATTAATTAATGATTCACAGTTAAATTGTAATTCCTACAGAACCTGAAGAGTGGTGATTTGAAGCGCAGGATGTAGGTGTCATCTTAATCACTGCTCTCATCGCAAAGAGTGGGCCTTGGAGTTCTGGCCTTCTTAGTTCTCTGCTTGGCCTAGTTACTGCATCCTGCACTCTTGACAAGTAAATTTTGTGGTGTTCTGCAATGTCAAAAAATGTTTAAATCATTCCTGTAAATTTCAGTGTTGCATTTGCTGTTGTTACCAGCAACCAACTAAAATTTTCAATAGTTGTCATTTAGTCGCACAAAACAGGTGCTGGGTGTTTGAACAGTGACTTTCAAGTTTATCTTTTATAACTACAAATGTCAGTACCAAAGAGCTACACCATCTTTGGACTTGCCTGTTTTGAAGATCAGGAGTGTAAAATCCAAGGGGAAGATTGGACTTAACATACTCATCTTACTATCTCTCCCCTTTTCTCAACAACTCTACTAATTTCCAGGCAGTTGAAATGACATGGAGAAGTACAGTAGGGATGTGGAAAATATTGATTGTAAGATACATAATTTATTAGTAATATCATGGAATTGCCATTGAGAGCTAGAAAGCAGTGACATTTGGGGATATTTCCTTGGCTTATTAGCTCTTTCAATGCCATTGCATTTTGTAGCACTGGCTTCAGAAACAGTGCTGCTTTGAAAAAAAGCCAACAAAATCTAAACAGCGAAGGAGGCTCTAGCGGTTTTTGTGCTGTCTGAATACCAGAGAAATGGATATTCAGCTTCAAGCTCTGCCATCAACTTCCTGCATCACCTCAGGCAAATCTTCCTTTTGACCTATCACTGCTTTGATTGCTTAGCTCAAGCTATTATGTAACTAATATTCAGAGGAAAGATGGAGAATTCCCAGAGCTGACAAGCTAAAGCTTTGTAAATTTTGAGCACAAGGCCAAGGACGTATATGTGAGCCTGGAAACTGAAAATAAAGTGCACTTCTGGAGAGGAAAAAGTTATGAGATAATAAGCAGAGCAAGGCTACACCCCAAAGGGGTTATTAGTTTGTGGTGGGTTTTTTTTTGTTTTTTTTTTTTTTTTTTCCCCTCCTATTTGGTTCATCTTCTTTTGAGAGCTGTTTGTTTATTGCATGACCACACTGATCTGAGAAGATTTCTGATCAATTTTTGGACTTCAGTAGTACTGCTGTAATGAGAAATGCTAACTCTGATTACGGATAAGACATTGACTACGGGGTAATGTTTATCCCTTCTACATCAACATGTTCACCCTTGAGCCACTAGTCCCTGGTGATACTTAATCTGACATTTTAGCTATCGCTGTGTCCTCATGTCTTCACTCGCAGATCTGCATCCAGTTTTTCTCTTACAAAAACCATGACTTGCTTTATTTGGACTTTGTTGGGTGCTTCTCTTTCTTTGAGAAAATAGACTCTATCGCAACCACCACATTTGCTTCTGCAGAAAAAACAAAATGCAGCATGATTCTATCATTAACTTTTTCCACATTCACATCTCAGTCTGCTGTCACACAAATGTTGACTTCATCCTTTCTCTTCGTTCCCCTCTCATTACCCCCTCCTTTCCTATCATGTGTGTCTACTTCATCCTATCTTTTTTTTTCCCTTCTGTTTCTCAAAGTCCTCAAGTTTCCTCTCAAATAAATGTAGGTAGTCACGTACCTTCCCTGTCATGAAAACACCAGTTGGATTCCCTTCTAGTAACTATCACTTCATCTGTTTTATTACTCTCTTCTCTAACCTTTCCACAAATGCTGTCCAAAACTGTTCTAATTATATCCTACATCTCCTTCAGTATGGCTCATTCCTTCTTCCATCAGCTGGAGCTGCTCATGTTGATATCTCTAGTTAGCATCTCAGACATAAAGGACTGTGTTTCATTACTGTCTCTTTGACTGATGGAGTGCTTTTGAAACTCCCATTCCTCTTCCCAAATCCAGTAAAAAAATCCCAGACACAGTAAAAAAAAAAAACAAAAAACCCAAACAAAAAGCGCCCCCCCCCCCAACAGCCTTCCTTTAAAACAACACCTCCTTTCCTAATTCTTCACGTCTGCTTCTTGAATCTTTAGTGCTGAGCTGTTCTTTTCTGCTGCTGAGAGCATGCTAGGCTTCCATCTGTGTTTTTTCCTCTTGAGTCCTTAGACATTGTCCCTGGCCATCCTTATCAACAAATACGGCTTTGAATACCATGCTTAACTCATGTTTTTCTTGTCTTCCCTCTCTTTTTCAATTCCCACTGGATGGTGTTGAGGTCTTACTGCATGTAGCACAGCAGCTCCTAGGCTTAACAGTTTTCTTCTGACTGTATGACCTGAAGTCATATCCTGACAATTATTCTTGTCTCTCGCTGTGATCCCTGCAGCTTTGTTTATTCAAAGTGCTGCTGTGAAGGGGCCTCTTTCTGGTTTGTCATTTTTACTGTGTTCCCTCACTTCTTAATCCTCAGGTGTTACATTTCTTCTTTTGCTGAACCAAAGACAATTTTCTTCTAGGTCCTAGAAGGTCTTTGCAGTATAATCTTCCTTCATACTGACTTATCCTATCACCATGTCAGGAGGTTAAATTCTACCTTTCTTTTGTCACCCCTGGCAGACTCCTTTTGATCCCTCTGAGAAGCAAAGGTTACTTCTTTCTGAGAGCACGGAAAGGCTTACAGAAAGAATCGCACTACTTTTTGATGGAAAATTCTTTCCTTTGGTACCACATGCTTCCTGCTGTCCTTTATACAGACATGAAAATAAAGGATTAAATCACCCAGTGATTCCTTTTCCCTCAGTCGTTTGCTCCTTTAGCCTGGCAGGGGATCTCCTCTGCCTGCTGGAATCTCTTTGAGTTCTCTTGCCAGCACTTCAGAGATGTCTCGGTGCAGCGCTGGCTGGAGCAGAGAGACATGGAGGCAGCTGCCAGCCCTGCAGAAAAAAGCTCTGGAGTTGGTGCTGGCAGGAGGGGGGAGCAGTGAAGCCGCAGGAGTGAGTGAGGAGCATGCCAGACAGAGTCAAACACCCATTGATTGACTTCCCCTGCCGAACTCTGCAGGGGAATGTGAGAGCTCCCCATCAGTAATAGCAAATCCGGGGATTCCCTGCGATCATTGCAAGCACTGTCATGCTTTTTCTGGATTATGAGGAGCAAGCTCCTGGGGTTTTTGTAGAAGCATAATAAAGTAGAAGTAGATATCAACTGGAATGGTGTATCCAAACTCCCTCCAGCTTTGAGGAAGTAAAGTCTGAATCCAGTCTTCTTGATTTCAGTCTTTGTACTAATGTAAGCTGTTGAGATGCTCTCACATTATTCATCAGCTTTTCCACAGGTAGGTTGAATATTGCGTATTGGTTGTCTGGTTGTTTTTGAGAAAAATAAGTTACTGTACAATATTATCAAGGAAAATATATACAGCACAGGCAGTTCAGCTTCAGAGAGCCTGGCAAGGCCACCTCCATCCATCAGTATTGAATGGTAAGCAAAAGAA